TAAAAATGCTACTTTTCTAGCTTGGCACCTGTAGCACAGTGGTTATGGCACCAGCCACAGACATTGAGGGTGGTGGGTTCGAACCTGACCTGGGCCAGCTAAACAACTACAACAACAAAATAGCCGGGCACTGTGCCAGGTGCCTGTAGTCCCAGCTACTCAGGAGACTGAGGCAAGAGAATCGCTTAAGCCTAAGAGTTTGAGGTTACTGTGAGCTGTGACGTCACCGCGCTTTACAGAGAGTGACATAAGTGAGACTGTTTCAAAAAAAAAGTAAATAAAATAAAATGCTACTTTTCCTTCCTGTTCTTCTTATAAATGGGACTGTCCACCACTGGCCAGGCATGCTGAGGCACTTGGTAAGACCTGTTGAGCAGCCTGCCAAGTTGAGAAAGGGTACCTGGACAAAGTCCAGAGACTAAATGATGAAAAAAGAGGAAGAAAGGCAGTTTCTACTCAGAAAAAAAAAAAGTTTAATATTATAAGTAGGCTTTCTCATTTCTTTTGAAATAACCTAGCTATCCATATCTCTGAGCACACAGACACTTAGACTGAGATGTCATGTGCCACCTTTGATGGCTTGGGATGAGAAAGCCCAACATTCTGCCCCAGCCCCATGCTCCTATTGCTTAGGACCTCCTCCATGGGACGCAATTATCACCCAAACTGCAGAGTCTAAGAATTGACTTGGCATTTTAACACACACACCCCCCCCCAACCCAGATAAGCAGTGTTTTATGTCATAACCCTGGTAACTGGGGTGAGCTCTCTAACCTGCCTAGTATTGAACTCTTTTATATCTTATTTTTTTTCCTTTCTTTTTTTTTTTGAGACAGATCTCGCTTTGTCGCCCTTGGTAGAGTGCCATGGCGTCACTGCACACAGCAACCTCTAACTCTTGGGCTTAAGCGATTCTCTTGCTTCAGCCTCCCAAGTAGCTGGGACTACAGACACCTGCCACAACACCTGGCTATTTTTGGTTGCAGTTGTCATTGTTGTTTAGCAGGCCTGGGCCAGGTTCGAACCCGCCAGTCTCGGTGTATGTGGCTGGCGCTGTACTATAATTTATTATTAAACTCTGAGATACTTGAGAGTAAAAGTGGATGCTGTTAATATTCACACCAGGACTCAGCACCTGTAACTCAGCGGCTAGGGCGCCAGGCACATACATCAGGGCTGGCAGGTTCAAACCCAGCCCTGGCCTGCCAAACAACAATGACAACTATAACAAAAAAATAGCCAGGCAGTGTAGCAGGTGCCTGTAGTCCCAGCTACTTGGGAGGCTGAGGCAAGAGAATCGCTTAAGCCCAAGAGTTGGAGGTTGCTGTGAGCACTTATACCACGGCATTCACTGAGGGCAACATAGTAAGACTCTGTCTCAAAACAAAACAAAACAAAATAATATTCACACCAGGACAACAGCATAAACTAGGTTTGTCCCAGCGTAAACAAGTTTGTTACTACTAAACTTGTCCCCCCCTTTAGCAGTAAAAAGTAGCTGTCTGCAACTGTACCAAGTTACAATTGTTCCCAATTTTTTATTATTTTATTTTATTTTTGCAGTTTTTGGCCAGGGCCAGGTTTGAACTCGCCACCTCCAGTATATGGGGCCAGTGCCCTACTCCTTTGAGCCGCAAGCACTGCCCTAATTGTTCCCAATTTTTGAAAAGGCCAGAGGGTACCTAGAAATGCCTTTGGCTTATTATTCAGAGAAATGCTGCTCTATGATGGTAGCAAAGTAAGCTCAGCAGGCTCAGTGCTTTCCTGTGTGCTGTCACTGCCATCTGAGCATCTGGCAGGGCCAGCCACCTTGATGGCATGACCTCTGAGCTTCACCAACTTTTGACATTATTGAGATTTTACCCAAAGCAAGGGTGACTGAGTAAGTTACTGTTCAACTGGAACACTTGAGAATAAAAGGGAGTGCTATTACATTTGCGCCAGGACAAGCAGCATAAACCAGGACGACTCCAGACAAAGCAGGCAGGCAGCCCATGATTATTGGCGGTGCTGAATGACTAGAACCTGAACTGCCCGATGGCAGACATTTTGGAACCTTTATACAGTCCACCTGCAACTTTATACAATCACCTGCAAACGTGATTCCCCAACAACTTTTCCAAATAAGTTCTTTCATCTTTATTTTTGTAAAAAAAAAGAAAGAAACAAATGAACAAAACAGTCACTACCAACCACATCACAACTTACCAGGCAAGGTCTTGATTCCCTCCCTCCTTCACGTCCCATGTGCCTAATCAACAGTGTCAAGGAAGCAGCCACTGATGTCAGCATGGAGGTTAGCTTTTCCCAGAGGGAGTATTATAAAGAAGGGCTTAGGAAAGGGAGGAAACCTGGATAGGCTTTTCATCATTGAGAAGTCACTTAAACCTGATTTGCTTTTAAGTAGCTGGCATGTCTTCAGGGCAAAGACCAGGCTGTCAAAAATCACGTGATGTGGCTTGCAGGGAAGGTCAGGTTGGAGTTGTGTTTTAAGGAACTGGAATGTTTCGTGAGCTTGCTGAGTTCTTCTGGAACAAAGACTAAGCTGAGGTGTGCTTCTTATTATTCGGCTTTGATACGTTATGGCAGGTCAGGGCTGCAGGGCTGCAGTTTTGTTAGTGCATTTAGTGCTGCTGAGCAGGGCAGGCCCCAGCCAGATGCTGAAGTCCTCTAAAGACAAGGCAGAGACTGTGGGCCCTGTATCCCCCGTCACCTTCCATTGAATAAGGGGGATAGGGACAAGGTCTCAGCCACTGGCCCCTTGCTAGCCCATACATGCCAACGTGGACCTGTTTCCTTAGGAGCACGTGAGAGCTTGAATCTGATGAGCAGGGGGGAGCAAGCATACTCCCTGCCGGACTGACTCCCCGCAGGGTTCTCCAGCCTTGACCTTGAGGGGTGACCCTGCACTGTGACCCAGCAGCAGCTTCGGCCCCAGAGTGGGCCACGGCACAGGTGGTTTAGGCATAGCCACCAGCCATCTGACTGGTGGCCGCATTGCTGCCCACTCCTCGCCAGGCCTGGAAACTGAAGAAAGCGCTCACACCATAGGCAATCATCACTAAACATGCAAAGAACTGAAAGAGAGAAGGGTGCAAGGTTGAGTCAGTCTGCACATGGTAATGGGAATGAGAAGGAGACAGTACACCGGTCAGGTAAAACCTTGAATAACTGCCTGTTTAGTTAACCATTCTTAGCCATGTGCATTTAGAACAGCTGTCTAAGCTAATGAGCACCAGCTTCTGCAAATGCCAACGTGACCTTCTAATAGGGAAAACAGTTAAAAACCATACAAGCAAGTTGTGTCAGACTGATAAAGAGCAATGATGGATGATTGAGGGGGCATCTTGCAGCAATTCAGTTTTAAAAAGGCAACATTCAGGCTGGACGTGGTGGCTCACACCTATAATCCTAGCACTCTGGGAGTCCCAGGTGGGAGGATTGCTTGAGCTCATGAGTTAGAGCCAGCCTAAGCAAGAACGAGATCCTATCTCTACTAAAAATAGAAAAACTTGAGCCGGGCATTGTGGCAGGAGCTGGTAGTCCAAGCTACTTGGGAGGCTGAGACAAGAGAATCGCCTAAGCCCAAGAGTTGGAGATTGCTATGAGCTGTGATGCCACAGTACTCTACCAAGGGCGCCAAAGTGAGACTCTGTCTAAAATAAAATAAAAATAGGAAAACTAGCTGGGCATTATGGCAGGTGCCTGCAGTCCCAGCTTCTCCAGAAGCTGAGGCAAGAGGATCACTTGAACCCAAGAGGTTTGAGGTTTCGGTGAGCTATGACAGTATCACGGCCCTTATAGCCTGGGTGACCAAGTGAGACTGTCTCAAAAAAAAAAGACAACATTCAAAAGCCACCCTAGGAATTTTCTAGAACCAGTACACACTTCTACATACCTACAGCCATAGCTCCACATCTCTGTCACTGTTACTTGACTGAGTTTACTGATTTCAAAAACACCCTCACCAGGAAGAGTAGGGAAACCCAAATGCTGATCTGGACCCTGACCTATCCTGGACTTTGCCATGATGAGCATGTCACCCAAACTCTCTGTGCCAAAGTTTCTTTGTCTGTAAAGAGGGACTGGTAGTCCCCTCCTCTTCCTCATTCGGGGGAGGCTGCAGGATCCTGTAGGAAATGGGCACAGGGCCTGTGGAGTGAAGCGTGGCAGGCGTGGAGGGGCTGTGGCTACTTTACTGGCCGCTTAACCTGAGTCCAGAGTTGGGCTTCATAGGAGAGCCTGTCAATCTTTCCAAATGGTTTAAACCAAAAGGTTTTTGCATGTGTATGTATCACAGGGAGGGTCCCTAGTTTTTAATATATTCTCCAAGGTGGCATGTGACCTAAATCAGCGTGGCACAACTGACATACAATAAAATTCAGCAGCTAACCCAAAACCCACTGGCCACCACACCCCTTTCCTCAAGCATTTTGGTTCTTCAAGGTTTTACTATTAATCATGGAAGGCTGAAAGTATCCCAGCTCCCTCTGAGACCCACTAAGAGTTTGGGTGATGACTGCTGAGGAGGTGGAGGGGAGCCTGGGCTCAAGCCATATGAGTTGTGGGGCTGAGACCTTGGTTTGACCCATCTCTCCAGCAGGCTGCTGGGAGCCCAGGAAGCATACTCACCGATGCTGCCGCACGCTGGTTATAAGGTCGTGTGCCCTTCAGGGACGTCAGCTCCACTGCTGCAGAGCATGTGATGAAGGCAGTGATGTAGAGGACGGTGGCGCCAACATTAAAGATCATTAACTGTAGGAGGTCAGGGTGGAAAGTAGGTGGGGAGAAAAACCTTAAGACACAAGGAGAGGCTCGGCGCCTGTGGCTCAAGTGGCTAAGGCGCCAGCCACATACACCCAAGGTGGCGGGTTCGAATCCGGCCCAGCCCGCCAAACAATAACAGCTGCAACCAAAAAATAGCTGGGCATTGTGGCGGGTGCCTGTGGTCCCAGCTACTTGGGAGGCTGAGGCAGGAGACTCGCTTGAGCCCAGGAGTGGGAGGTTGCTGTGAGCTGAGATGCCATGACACTCTACCCAGGGGGACAGCTTGAGGCTCCTGTCTCAAAAAAAAAGACCCAAGGAGAGCTGGACCCTCCTGGTTCCCATGGCACACCCCTATGCAGTCAGAGTATGGGGGTGCAAACACATAGGTCTTTCCCACCAAAGGGCCTCAAAAGGCAACAGTCCCCCAACCTCCTCCGTCCCTGACAGAGGGAGAGGGCCTAAAGTGCTGGGGCCAGGGCTAAGGCCGAGGCCAGTGCCGAGAGGCCAAACCCACTCCCCACAGCCAAAGGTCAATCTACAACCTTTTTGTACCATCTAAAGAATTATGGGCCACTCCCAAGTGTGACTCAGGCAAGCCCAGGCCCTCCCTGATCCCACTGCAGGGCTGGGCTTGGTGGCTAGTCCTAGGGTAGGATCTCACATCCCTCTCTGCATCCAGGGGTGGGATCTATGTCTCTCATTTGGCCGTATCCTAAGCTTAAGCCCCAAGCAAATGCCCAGGGTCAGGACTGCAGGAGGACCAAGACACCTAGCTGGTTACTGAGCTAGACTGGCAGGAAGCAGCCCTCAGCTGCTGAGCAGGCCCTGCCGCCATCTCCCAATGGGTTGGGTCCTACAACCTGTTAACCATCTTCAAACATTCTGTTTGTCCCATACACTTTTTAAAAATTACCAACATCTTAAAATTAGATTTCACATTGAAACATTCATATTAAAAAATCTAAATATATCAAAAGATTTCGCACCAAGGGGCCACATGCCCACTAGTGACAGATGGAGCTGAGTAGAGATGGCTTCCTATGGACAGATGGGTGCTGGGCTCACTAGAGCCCCCGCTGACCCAGCTCACTCATACATCTGGTCTGGATCCTGCACGGTCCATTCTAATCCAGCCTTCTCTATGTGGTTACCTCCTTGCCCGTCTGCTAAAAGATCCAGGAGCACCAAAAACAGAGCTCCGCCACCAGGGCCTGTGGTGTTGTGCCATCAACATCTGTGGCTGGTGCTCTAGGTAACAAGGGGCTTCTATCTCCAGATACTTTTTTCTAAAAAGCCCCCAGGACATAGGGCAGAGGGCTGAACCCTGAGCTTGGGAGTCAAGCCGCCTTCTCCTCACCTCAAAACCTGTGGCCAGGTGCAGTGGCTTACACCTGTAATCCCAGCACTCTGGAAGGCTGAAGTGGATTGCCTAAGCTCAGGAGTTGAGCCTGAATAAGAGTGAGACCCTGTCTCTGCCAAAACTACAGGCATGCTAGCAGGTGCCTACATTCCCAGCTACTTGGGAGGCTGAAACAAGAGGATCACTTAAGCCCAGCAGTTTGAGGTTACTGTGAGCTCTGATGCCACAGCACTCTACCCAGGGCAACAGAGTGAAACTCTATCTCTTTAAAAAAAAAAAAAAAAAACACTGAGCAGGGTACTGCCTGTGGCTCAAAGGAGTAGGGCACCAGCCCCATATACCAGAGGTGGCTGCTTCAAACCCGGCCTGGCCAAAAACTTCCAAAAAAACCCACGGAGCAGCACCTATGGATCAGTGAGTAGGGCGCTGGCCCCAACCCAAGGGTAGCCCCAGCCAAACAGCAACAACAACAACAAAATAGCCGGGTGTTGTGGCGGGTGCCTGTAGTCCCAGCTACTGGGAGGCTGAGGAAAGAGAATTGCCTAAGTCCAAGAGCTGGAGGTTGCTGTGAGCTATGATGCCACAGCACTCTACCAAGGGTGACAAAGTAAGATTCTGTCTCTAAAAAAAACCAAACTCTTCCCTGGGGGGCCAGGCCTAGTTGCTCACACTTATAATCCTAGCACTCTGGGAGGCTGAGGCAGGAGGATCACTTGAGCCCAGGAAGGTGAGGTCACAGTGAGCTGTGATGAAGCCACTGCACTTACCCAGGGGATGGGAATGAGTATCTATATCCAAAAATAAATAAATAAACGGATCTTTCCTGCAAGCTGAGCGACCCCCGCAAACACTGCCAGTGACACGGAGATCTAACAAACCCATTCTGTCTTGAGGATGACTCACGTTTCCTCAGTTTAAAAAGTCATTGAATTCCAAACAATGACGCCTAGTCCCAGCCTTGCTTGCCTTACAATCATGTGCCTCTCTGCTCACTGAAAGCCTCAGACCCCAGCTGCAGGGGTTTTCCGGGTCAGCAAAAAAAAAAAAAAAAAAAAAACCTAGCAGCTTTCTGTGTCTGTTCAGGGTACTTCCTATGTCCGCTCTCAGCTCTGTGTCCTGAGACTATTCTAGGGCAAACCTGGGACGGGACACTCAGGCTCTCTCCTAGTCACATTGGCCCAGCCAGGAGGCAGCTGGGTGCCTTAGGGCCTGGGTGATTCCCAACAGCTCACCCTAGCCACAGTCAGGGTGGCCTGGCTAGGCCCAGCCAGAGGCTGACAAACCTACACAATATAGACTCAAGTCCTGACCACCCACAGTAAGGAAAAATATTTTCACGTTCCCAAATGGCCTCTTGTGCATGCATGCAGCAGCCTCCTCACTTCTACCCCCTTCCTAGGACAAGGTCAAGCCTCTTCTTGGCTCATGGTGCTCAGAAAAACCAGATACCTGAACCATTAACCCTCCCCACACCCTGGCTCTGCAGGTCAACTGTAAGTCAGTGAGGACACCAGCCACCACACCCCCACTGTGCCACTTCTCACTTCACCAGTCACACCTGGAGGCCAGCCGGAGCCACCCTCCTGCCCCCACCCTGACTCACCACCAGGGGCCAGGGCACCATGTGTAACTTCATGTGCAGCTGAAACAGGTAGAGGATGAAGAAGACGATTGTCACCAGCCAGAGGAAGACAGAGACGAACATCACCCAGCCGTAGGCTGGATACAGGTGGTACGGTGTGTCAGCAATCAGGGCCCACACCAGCAGCCCCAGCACCTAAGGGGAGAGACAGGCAGAGCCTTGGCCTCATTTCTGATTTAGTCAAGAAATATTGATTTGGTAGTACTCTGAGAGGCCGAAGTGGGCGGACTGCTTGAGCTCAGGAGTTCAAGACCAACATGAACGACAGCAAGACCACATCACTACTAAAATAGACCTTGCCACATCGTGGCCAAGTGCCTAGAGTCTCAGCTACTCAGCAGGCTGAGGCAAGAGGATCGCTTGAGCCCAGGAGTTTGAGGTTGCAGTAAGCCACTCTACCCAGGGCAACAGAGTGAGACTCTGTCTCAAAAAAAAAAAAAAGAAAAGAAAAAAACCCAAACAAATACTGATTTGGCCCCTGCTATATACCCCTGTGCTGGGGCCTGGCCTGGTAACCCTCACTCCTCTTTAGGGAAGATGTCAGGTACTCCAGCACAGCTTCCCGGCTCCTCTAGTCTGTGTTCTAGCACCTCTTCTGTGCTCCTAAGGCCTCCCAGGCTCCCACCACCCAGGACGGTAACTCTGTTTCCTTCCCCAGACCGTTAGCTCTCCAGGGCCCAGGTCACAGCCATCTGTCTCACAGCTGCATCCTGAGACCCAGTATAGGACCGAGGCTCAGTAAAAGCTGCTAAAAGGAAGATCAAGTCACTGTCATGTCCTTGAGAGCTGATTACAGTCCCAAAGGTGAGAAAACATGTCCTCCTCCCACCTAGGCCCAGCAGAGAGTATCACAAGGCCTGTGAGTGACACCCCACCCTCTGCCTCTCCTACCCCACATCTCTGGCCCTTCCAACTGCCCTTCTGTCTGGATATTACCCATCTTACAGGTGAAACTGGGCTTCAGAGAGGTCAAAGGACCTGTCTGTCGCACCCTTCCCATGTGGCAGAGTGTGTTCAGTGGCTAAGAGAATGGGCTTTGGTGCCCAAACTCCTGGTGTAAAGTCCTGCTCCCCCACCTTACTACCAGTTCAAGGCCAAGTCAGTGGGATCACAGAGCAGCAGCCCTGCTTCTGGAGACAAAAAGTCCCCCTGACCGCTCACATCAGCTGAGGGGCAGCTAAAGGCCCCCAAGCACAGCCTCAACTGGACACCTGCCAAGTACCCCACCCTGAAAAAGCGCCCCCAAGGTCCAGAAGGTAAGTTTATGCAGGAGTCTACACACTACCCTGGCCTGCAGCCCTCTCCTGCCTCCTCCTCCCACCCTCCCCTGAGGTCTGACTCGGGAAGGGCGAGGCCCACTGGGGAAGTGGAAGGTGGGTCCCAGGACTTGGGAGTCAAAGGCTGGGGTGGGCAAGCACCTTCCCGTCTCTGTGGGGGTTCCCCTGTGCGACTTGAGTGAAGTCTACCCACCAGAATGCAGACTCTAAGAGGAATTCTGGGTTTTCCTTTTTTTAAATTTGAGACAGAGACTCACTTTGTTGCCCTCAGTAGAGTAATGTAGCGTCACAGCTCACAGCAACCTCCAACTCTTGGGCTTAAGCAATTCTCTTGCCTCAGCCTCCTGAGTAGCTGGAAATATAGGCGCCCACCACAACGCCCCGCTATTTTTGTTGTTGTTATAGTTGTCTTTGCTGTTATAGCTGGCCAGGGCCAGGTTCGAACCCACCACCCTTGGTATATGGGGCTGGTGCCCTACCCACTGAGCCACAGGTATCACCTGAATTCTGGGTTTTCACTGCTGTATCTCCAAGGCCCAGCACAGAGTACGTGCTCCATAAATATGTGCTCAGGCACTAATGTTCCCATTTCCTCATCTGTGGCTCAGGATCGAAAACCTGCCCAGCACAGTTGCTATGTATGAAAAGAAGCAGGTGTCAGTGACCCTGCCAAACAACAATGACAACTACAACTAAAAAATGGCTGGGCATTGTAGCAGGCGCCTGTAGTCCCAGCTACTTGGGAGGCTGAGGCAAGAGAATCGCTTAAGCCCAGAAGTTGGAGGTTGCTGTGAGCTGTGATGCAAAAGCACTCTACCCAGGGCAACAGCTTGAGGCTCTGTCTCAAAAAAAAACAAGAAGCAGGTGTCAACCTGTGACCTGCTCTTGGCCTTGTCTCCCCTTTACCCAAGGAAGCCGCTCACCCACAAATGGTAGCCCCCGGGAAGGTCTCCTTTGTAGAGCAAGTTCCAAAAGATCCCTGCCTCACACAACCCCCTGCCAACCTCACCAGCAGACCAGATCAGGAAGTGGGGATAGTGGCTGGACCTCACCTCCAGGCATACGCCAAGCTGGGGTCAGAGCCCTTATGAGTGAGGGCCCAGGGCAGGATGTTTCAGGACAGATTCCCCCACACCTAGACCCCCCAACCTTTAGGCCACCCTGCTGAAAACAGACAAACCAGGGAGGCCATAGCTTCCCAGAGCTGGGGGAGGCCAGTGTTCTGAAGGGGAACAAATACCCTCTTTTTTTTGCTTTTTTTTTTTTTTGACTGGGGCCGGGCTTGAACCGCCACCTCGGGCATATGGGGCCAGCGCCCTACTCCTTGAGCCACAGGTGCCGCTTGGGACAAATACTCTTGAAACAGCATGCCCAGAACCTTCTCCAGGTGAGAAATGGATAATAAAATAATGACTTTTTTTTATTTAAAGCAAATTCTTTACAGGTCTCCACTGCCATTGTGTGGCCTGGTTCCAACCATCTGAAAGGAGGCTGGACAATACAGTGAACCAATAGAATCAAGAAAAGACCATGTCAGGTTTACACGAACGAACGAACACTTCTGAGTCATCTGTACTGTCGCTCACGGCCTTGGCCACAGTAACAACCTCGTGCCCTCCCCCCCATGCACCAGCTGTGAGTCATCAATCCCACCTTCACCAGACTCTCATAAGTCTGAACTATTCCTTGTCCCTAATTTCTAAATGGAAGCTCAGAAGGAGATGCACCTGCAGTCACCAGCGATAAAGGGCAGAGTGGGATTGGAACCCAGATCTGTCCTTTCCTGCATCCTACTATAAGTAGGTTATGTAGTACTACTACAAGTTATTTAGTGATGTGTAAAAAACAAGGGCACTTCAGCTGGCTCTGAGGACCAGGCTGGGCAGAGCAGAGCACCCAAGCTCTCTGTCTCCGTCCCTGCCCTGCACTCCGGCCCCACCCCTGGTTTCCAGATCAGCAAACAGCCTCCAGATGAAGCAGGTGGATAAGCAGTGGGAATTTTTAGCGTTCCTTCTGGCAGAGATGCCGGGCTCTGTGCCCAGGGAGCCGCCTTGGTTTCTGCCCTAGAACAAGGAAGGTCCATTCCTCCATCTGAACCAGACTAACTGGTTTCTCCTGGTCCCTGAGCCCCCAGCCCAGGCCCTGGGAGAGTTCCTGCTCAGGACAGGGCACCATCACATTCGCTGACCCCTTCACTGGTCTGGGTGGCCCTACTGCGGAGACAAAGCCCAGGTCTCAGCTCCAGAAGCTGCAGAATGCGCTGCACCCCGTCCAGCCAAGGCCCACACTCTAGTTTGAGGAAGAGGCCAGGGATGTATGTCTGACAGTGGGACTTACCCCACTGTTCAGTTAGGAGGACAGCAGTAGGCAGCTGGGGGCAGAGGGTGACAAAAGACCCTGATTCTGCCACCTGCTCAGGCCCCTCATGCCACAACCCAGACACCCTCTCCTCACAGCACAGCCCGTGTATGCCTGTCTGAGTTCATACATTCAACAGCACCGACTGAGAAAAGGGAAAGGGAGACGGCAGCAGGGTCACTGCTGCAGTTTTAGATTTGGGCCAAGAAAGATCTCGCCAGCAAGGTGACATGTGATCCTAGACCCATGGAGCTGAAGGAGGGAACAAAGGATCTGTGTGGGTATCTGGGAAAGGACAGAGCTCTGTGTCTTCCCTCTGGGCCCCAGAGCAGGTCTCTTTTGCCTAAATAGTCACCTGTCCTGTGCTTTTCAGTACGTGTCTACACGTGCATCTGTATGTCTCTTACACACACACACACACAGCCAAACCCCCAGGGGGATCAAACTCTCAGGCCCCTGCAGTGCTTCCCTAGGAAGGCCCTAGAGAGAAATAGAGAACTACCTGGAAATCTCAAGGGCACAGGAACTTTTTTCCCCTTCTGAAATACTAAAGGATTTGCATCAGGAACTTTTTCTTTAAACAAGGACTACTAATTTTTCTATTTTTAGTAGAGACAGATCTCACTTTTGCTCAGGCTGGGGTGGCATTAATTCTGATGGAAGGCTGGTCTATCAGCTCCTCAGGTTCAAGCTCTGGCCCTGCCAACTCGCTAGCTGTGTGACCTCAGGCAAGTTGCTTAACCTCTCTGTGCCTTGGCATCATCTTGAAAAAGTGCCTGTTTTACAGAGTGGTCTTGAGATAATGTAAATGAAGTACTTCGGGCAATATATTCAGACCAGCACCCAACACAGGCTCAACATTCAACATTTTAGTCATTAACACTCTGAGGAATCAAGAACATGGGGATTCTTTTTTTTTTTTTAATGAGAGAGAGTGAGTCTCACTATGTTGCCCTCAGTAGAGTACCATGGCATCACAGCTCACAGCAACCTCAAACTCTTGGGCTTAAGCGATTCTCTTGCCTCAGCCTCCCATGCAGCTGGGACCACAGGTGCCCACCACAATGCCCGGCTATTTTTTGTTATAGTTGTCATTGTTGTTTAGCTGGCCCAGGAGGGGTTCAAACCTGCCAACCTCGGTGCTGTAACCAGTGCCATAACCACTGTGCTACAGGCACTGAGCCCATGGGGATTTTCCTAATCAGCCTCCATGCCTAGTTTCCTGCGGGAGTTAAGGGTGTGTAGATCCAGACAGGCGTGAGGCCTCAGTCTAATCTATCTAAACTCAGGCACTAGGCACATACAGATCAGCCTGCTAGCTCCCAAGAGAGGCCATCTCAGCCCTAGGAAACTCCTAGAGCTGCGCGTCCTCCTGTCAACCCAAGAGTCACCCCAACTCTTTTAATCCTCCCCACTTCCTGGGCAGACCAGAGCTTTGTATACCCGCTATGTGGCCTTGAGAGTCAACTTTGTGGTCTATTTCCTCATCTGACATGTGAAGGAGTTTGGGGTGGGTGCACTTATCCAAATCTGTTGTGCAAGTGAAATGATGTGACAGAAACAGTTAAAGCCCCAGGGTCACGAGGACTGTGAGACACTCCAGGGAGTGAAGGGCTAAATCCCAGGTGAGGGAAGCATCGCAGAAGAAAAGCACCTCAGGGCCTGGAAGTTGACACTGTTGTCTCACATTAGCACTCTGGGGCTGGTGGGTCACAGAAATGACCATGCTGGACCAGGTGGGGGTCTCTGGAGGGGGAGAGCAGCTGCTGGTGCTTCTGGGGACACAGGCTTGGGGCAGCCAGAGCTTCAAATTTTTCAAGAGGCACTAAAAGCCTGGATTTTTTATATGGACATCTTCAACTTTTTAAATGTGGGCATCTGGCCAGGCACAGTGGCTCATACCTGTAATCCCAATACTGTGGGAGGCCAAGGCAGGAGGTTCCTTTGAGCTCAGGAGTTTGGGACCAGTCTGAGCAAGAATAGGAGGCTGCCCTCCCCAACTAAAAATAGAAAAATCAGCCAGGCATTGCGGCGGGCACCCGTAGTCCCAGCTACTCAGGATTGCCTGAGCCCAGGAGTTTGCAGTTGCTGTGAGCTGGGCTGATGCCAGGGCACTCTAGCCTGGGGCAACAAGAGAAACTCTGTCTCTAAATAAATAAATAAATGCGGGCAACTAAACCAAATATTTTAAAAATAATGAGGTCAAAGGCCACCCCAGGGTCGGGGTAGAGGGTGCAAGGCCGCGATTCCGGTTACAGCTCCCACTGCTCCATCCAGAGCAGCAAAATGAACCTTTCCCAGGGTTCTCCTCACTGGGGGCACATCTGGGCAGCCTGAGGACACTTACAACTTGGCCGGGCCCAGCCCCCACCCTGCCCTGGCCCTTTTCCTAACAGTGAAAGGGACTTTATAGGGACAAAAAGCCACCCATTGTGTCAAATGAGACAAAGGGGCAGGGGACAGAGGCTCCAGGCGCCTAGGCTGGCCACACCACCACACACCACCCCCGCCCCATGTGAAAGGGAGGGCTTGGAGGAAGGCACCTTGGAATTCCCATGCTGCACACTCTGAGCACTCAAGAATCCCGGGGTCATCACCCCCGGCTCTCCAGGGAACAGATTCAGAACCAGCCACAAACTGACTGGCTCTGGGACAGCATTTAACAGCTCTAAGCCTTCCTTGTTAAGAAAAATGGGCATGTGAGTTACCAAACTGAGTCACTGAACAGGCTCTCCCAAGGGCCTGCTCTGTGCCAGGCTCCGTTCTAGGTCCCAGGAATGCAGGGGGGAGCTTAGCACCCAGGCCTCAGCCCCCAGCCCAGGCCCTGCTTCTCAGGGCTGTAGTGTGAAAGACAGCAGGCTCAGGACCTGGGCCACCTCCAAGGCTTCCCAAACGCAGCCTTTAGCACGTGACCCATTATTCCTGAGTCCTGAGTCTCGGTGTTTCACAGCGAGAAGCACAGTGTTCACAGAGTGTTTCAATCCCAGAGGTGGGAGAGGTTTCTTCCCACCTACCCCAGTGGCCAAGCCACCTCAAGGCCCCAGAGCAAGGTGCCCCAGCCCTGAGTGCACAAGCATATCAATGACCACTGCCACCTCTTTGTTGCTTAGTTATCTTCCCTTAGGGTTTTGGAAAAACCTTCCCATCTTGGCTGGGTGGGGTGGCTCACACCTGGAATCCTAGCACTCTGGGAGGCTAAGGCAGGTGGATTGCTTGAGCTCAGGAGACCAGTCTGAGCAAGAGTGAGACCCAGTCTCTACTAAAAGTAGAAACACTTGGCTCGGCGCCTGTGGCTCAAGTGGCTAAGGTGCCAGCCACGTACACCCAAGGTGGTGGGTTCGAATCCAGCCCGGGCCCGCCAAACAACAATGACGGCTGCAACCAAAAAATAGCCGGGCGCTGTGGCAGGCGCCTGTGGTCCCAGCTACTTGGGAGGCAGAGGCAGAAGACTTGCTTGAGCCCAGGAGTTGGAGGTTGCTGTGAGCTGAG